TATGAGTGTGTTGCATGTAGGTAAGTGCACCTGTGTCGTGCAATGCCGGCGGAGGACAGACGAGGCTGTCGGAGCCCCTGGAACTGGAGTTAAGGACTGTTAGCTGCCATGCGGGTGCTGGGAGTCGAACCTGGGTCTTCTACAAGAACAGTCAGTGTCCTTAACCTCTGAGCCATCTCTCCAGCCCCGGTTCCCGCTCCCCCCCCCCTTTTTTTAAAAAAAATCTGTATGCTGGGGTGTGGTGGGAGGCGGACCTGAGTTCAGAATCCTAAATCCGAATTTTGTCAGTTAGGGGTCCTATGAGCATTAATGCTCATATGTAGTGGTGGCCACGGAAGTTTTTTTTTAATGCAGGTTTTAAAGGCTGGAGAGATGGCTCAGCTGATAAGAGCACTGGCTGCTCTTGCAGAGAACCTGGGCTCGATTCCCAGCACCCACCTGGTGGCTAATAACTGTCCATAACTACAGTTTCAGGGGATCTGACAACTCTCTTCTAGCCTCCTTTGGCGTTGCACGACACGGGTACGCTTACATACAGACAGACAAAACACACATAAAATAAAAATAGTTTAAAATATTAGAAATAAATGTTTTAAATTTATTTTTGTGTGTGTATGTGTGTATGTATGTGTGTGAACGTGTAGGTCACAGGACAATGTGGGATCAGTACTGTCCTTCCATCTTTGCATATGTTTTGGGAATTGAATTAAGATTGTCAGTCTTGGGCCTCAAGTGCTTTACCCATTGAGCCATCTATCCAGCCCCCACAGAAGGTTTTGAGCAAAGGAAAAAACTATCTCATAGTTTTCCAACCTTCCAAGCCCCAAATCAGGTTGGGGTGGGGGTGATGAGGGCGGAGGCTGAATGGTTGAAGAAGTGGAGTTCAAGGGAGACACTGAGATGGATTGTTGGTTTTAAGTGTATTCGAAGAGTCATCAGCATCGTGGACAGAGGGTGTGCTGGATAGCTTTAGTGTCAACTTGACACACCTGGGTTGAGGGAGCCTCAATTGGGGAATTGCCTCCATTGGCCTGGCCTGTGGCCATGTCTTCGAGGCATCTTCTTGATTACTGAGTGACTATGGGAGGGCCCAGCCCACTGTGGGTGGTGCCAACCCTGGGCAGGTGGGCCTATGTTGTATAAGAAAGCAGGCTGAACAGGGGTCAGGGGAGCAAGCCAGTAAGCAGCGTTCCTCCATAGCCTGTGCTCATGCCTCCAGGTTCCTGCCCTGAGTTCCTACCTTGGGCTCCCTGATGAACTGTGACCCAGGAGATGTAAGCCAAATAAACCCTTTCCTCCCCAAGTTGGTAGTGGTCAGAGTGTTTTTTTCACAACAATGAAGAAACAAGCTAGGAAAGGGGGACAGACAGAAAACAGCACGCAGGGCCTCTGAGGAGAGTTCAGGCCCCGGTGCCAGAGACAGATAGCATGGCAGGGATTTTGAAGAGAAATCAAGGCGGGAGCATAGGATGCTTTTATAGGAAAGGAAGGGAGAAGTGTCCCAAGGGGTAACAGATATCTTCTACTCAGTGTAGCTCTTAATGAGCTGAGATTGAAGTGGCCGGATTAGGGTGTGACCTCCTCATCTAGAGCCATCTGTCAGTCAGGCATTATCTGGTACCAAAGCTGGAGTCTGTATTTGAGTATCAAGAGGGTACTCATTGGGGCTGGAGAGATGGCTCAGCGGTTATGAACACTAGTTGTTCTTGCAGAAGACCCAGGTTTGAATCCTAGCACCCGCATGGCAGCTAACAACTGTCCGTAACTCCAGTCCCAGGGAATCTGACAGCCTCTTCTGTCCTCCACGGGCATTGCACGACATGGGTGCACTTACCTACATGCAGGCAATACACAATACACATAAAATAAAAATAAAATTAAAAAAAAAAAAGGATGTTATCTAAATCCAAGTAGCATGTTGGAGAGCATTCTGGATGAACAGGATCAGCATGTAGATTAAAAGGGGCCTGCCTATGGATACGGATCACAACAGTCCTTAAAGGAATACTTGTAAGTCAGGAAGTCCATAATGAGTTTTGAAACCTGTTTGAGTTGGAGTTATTGAGATAGGGGTAAAGGGTGAGTAGAAGAGTTAATGATGGAACAGGGACCAGAAAGGAGTGCCAATCATATTTGAGTATTTTAGAGGAGGTTGTGTGGAAGGCAGGGAATAATAATATGCTTTAATAGGGTCGTTATAAATATCCTTAATGTGAATCCCAGTAAATTGTTTTGGTTTTTGATTACAAAGATGTTAAGCCCTGTGTTGAGGAAGGTAATAGATTGGCTGTTAGAAAGCTAAGATAACTGCCCCGGCAGTGGGCAAAGAGATATCTTGGTGGTGGTGGTGTTCTTAAATCAGTCGGGGGCAGAACAGATAGTTGTCCTTTGTTCATCCTAGCTTGATGCCTGGCTCAGTGGCCAAAGCTGTTCATTCCTAGGGCACAGTCCTACTGGGAAAAAAAAAAGGGCTAAGATAGCCCAAGATAATTTTGTTATAGCCCTTGCACAGGAACTCTTTTTTTTAAAAAAATTATTTTTATTTTATGTGTATGCATATATTGCTTGTATGTATGTAAGTGCACCCGTGTCAATGACCGAAGGAAGTCCGAAGAGGGTGTTGGATCCCCTGGAACTGGAGTTACGGGCAGTTGCTAGCTGCCATGTAGATACTGGAATTTGAACCCGGGTCTTCTGCAAGAACAGCTAGTGTTCTCAACCTCTGAGCCATCTCTCCATGCACTGGAACTTTTTAAAATTGTGTGCACGCACGCTAGCGTGTATGCACCTGTGTGAATGCATGTGCTTGCCACAGCACGTGTGTAGCGGTCAGAAGACAGCTTTCTGGAATTGGTTCTCTTCATTGACCGTATGAGTCCTGGGATAGAATTCATGTCATCAGGCTTGTTGACAAGCATCTTTAGGTGCTGAGCCGTCTTGCTGGCCCTGAAACTTAAGGAATTATTTTTGAGAATTTCATACACGAGCACTGTATTTATAGCACTCTGCCTCACCTTCTCCCCCTCCCAGCTCCTCCTTCCCATGCCCCCCACTCCTTTTCAGTTTCATGACCTCTTTCTTGATTAGTGTTGTTCCATATACCGTGTGTGTGTGTGCGTGTGCGTGTGCGTGTACATATATGATGTACTGAATCTAATTAGTTCTGCTTGCATGTATCTCTTGGGATTAGATAACCAATCAGTGAGCTTGTCCCTGGAGAAAGCTGATTCTCCCTCCTAGTTCCAAAACGCCTAACAGCTGCATTAAATATGTGTACAGGAAGACACTGTACACCAACTTGACATATAGGACTGACTTTGATGGACATAATACTCCTATTAGGAGAGGGGTCCCATTCTTGTCCCCATGATCCAGATGACAACACGGAAGAGTTTTAGGTATAGCTACTGCAGAGTATGTGAGAGGGCTTGGATGGTCCTTTGGGATGCCACAATCATTGCTTTTTTTCAAAAAATTTTATGTGTATGAGTGTATTGGCTGCATGTATGTGAGTGCAACTATGTCCCGCAATGCTGTGGAGGTCAGAAGAGGGCATCGGATCCCCTGGAACTGGAGCTACGGATGGTAGTCAGCCACCATGTGGGTGCTAGGACTTGAACCTGGGTCCTCTGCAAGAGCAGTCAGTGCTCTCAACCACAGAGCCATCCCTCTAGCCCCACCATCATTGCTTTTTACACACAGGTTTGTTTTCTCATAGGTTCCTATTATCACAGAGACACTTACTGACAATGAAGAGGTAAGCGGAGGTGGATTAGTAACTTTCCTGTTGCTGTGATAGAAATGCCATGATTAAGGGAACTTATGAAAGGAAGAGTTTATTTAGCTTATGGTTCAAAAGGGGCAAGAGTCAGTGGTGGGAAGGCATGGCGTCAGAGGTGGCTGGAGGAGGAGCGAAGCTAAGCTCTCACATCTTCAAGCTAGCAAGAGAGTGACTTGAGATCCAGTAAGGCTTAAGAACTCTCTAAGCCTGCCCCCAGTGACATGCTTCCTCCAGCAAGGCCATACCTTCTAAGACCTCACAAAATATTGCCAACAACTGGGGACAAAATGCTCAAATACTTGGAGCCTATGGGGAACATTCTCATTCAAACCACCACAGCATATTACCCTCCTTGAGTCCCAGAATTGTGTCTTGAGTTTCTTTTCTTGCTGTTCTCCCTAAAGTTCCATCAGAATCTCCTGGAAGGTGATCACAGAATGCAAGGTCCCTGAGTCCACATTGGGGATTAAATGGAGAGGTTTTCCTTCATGGCATGAGATTTAGAAGGTATTAAAGTTCTAGTGGTCAATATTAGAAAAGGCTTGGAAGTCGGATTGAATTGGAAATGCTCAGAAAATCAGAAAACCTCAGATGTCTGTTATGTCTGGTGGAAAGAGTGGAAGACAGAAATTAAGAGTAAACACTAGCCAGAGGAGCTGGGCCTTGTTTCCTGAGATGGAAATGGAGGTACAGTAGTATAGAGAGAGATGTGCCTGTTGAAGCGTGCATAGATGGTGTCAAGGCCCACGTATCAGGGGCATGACTCACATCTGGTTGGATCAGGGAAGACTCGAATTATTTGTAGGGAGAATGGGGGGACTTTCCATGTAAATATCCAACTTGGATGGACTCCTATCTGTCCATTTGCCTTTTGTTGTTGAGTGCTTAACACCGTAGTCAGGGGAACCTTGAGGAGAGACTGGGTTCCTGTGATGCCAGGGCTTTGCATTCTTGAGGTAGGAAGCTGAGCACGAGTGGCTGTCTGTTGGATGTTAAGAGTCCTAGAGGAAGAGGTTTCTTATGAACCCAACTGTCCCCATTGTGACAGGGCCGTGTGACCTTTAAGGATGTGGCTGTCTACTTCTCGAAGGAGGAATGGACACTGCTGGATGCCTCTCAGAGACTGCTGTACCGCAGTGTGATGCTGGAGACCTTCTCACTCATGGCCTCTGTGGGTAAGGGCCGCCTACCATGGTCAGAGCATGTTCTCATGGACTTGTTTTTTTCTAGAAGTAGATGTATCCTTCCCAAAGATGGCCCATGGACACTACTTTAAAAATGCAGGTGCTAGTCCTGGGCTGAGTACACTAACACCTTCTCTCTTAAGTACAGCAAAAGCATACAGGAAGCAGCTTGGGGATAGGAATCTTACAGTGAGCCTAATAGCTCACCTTACTAGCCTTTCCCTTGCCTGGTGACTCTGCAAGTAGACAGCACTTCCACGACTCAGGCACTGCTTTCCTTGCTCAGTTGACGTGTTTGGCCTGCCTTTGGTAGGAACTGGGGTACTCTGTCGTTCTTGGGAAACACCCTTCAAAGAGCCTTTTTCATTAGTTTACTTTCCATTGACTGTCATGGGTTGGCTCAGTATGTTTTGTGTGGGCCATTCACCTGTCCTGTCTTTTCCTTAGGGCTTGTACCTTCTGGGACCCGTGAAATCACTCAGTTGGAGCTGTGGGGCGAACACATCTCCTCACCGGGAATAATGACTCCAGATACATGGCCAGGTATTTGGAGGTTGAAGTTAGCATGTATGAGACTGGAACAGGTTCATGACCGGAATCTTTCTACTGGTTCTGATGTTTTGGTGCCAAGGCAACAGATTACGACAGACTTCCGTCTTACGGTTCCTTGCCCAGTTGCCTACTTATTATTTGCATTATCTAAACCAGGGATAGTCCTTACTTATCAGTCTTCTGTTTTTGGTTTGTTTTCTATTCCCCTACAGCACTGTGGAACAGAGACTTCCCTGATTGTGTTGTTAACGGACTGCTAATCCCCTGAGTAATCCTTGAATATGTGTTCTACAGCCATCATATTTTGTGGGCCTAGACACACCCTTCTGCACTGTGTTGTGTCTCCAGCAGCTGAGGCCCCACAGAATGATTTGCTGTGGTGTGTGTTTGATTCCCTGCCACTTCCTATGCTGCATGCCTGCCTTGCGTTGTTGCTGCTAATGAGGCCTCAATCTGTGATGGTGCTGGGTTCAGCACAGCAGGGTGTCCTTCCCAGCCTTACTTAGCCCTTTCATCCAGACAGAATCTCAGGTCCTCATCCCTTGTGTGTCTTGTCACACCAAAGTCTTCATTGTCCTCATTGATGGTTCTCTGTTTTCAGGTTCCAGGAGTGGGGTGGAGGCTGAAGATACACCTCTTAGGCTAACTGTTTCTATAGATGATGAACGTGGTGCAACCATTCAGCAGCAGCAAAACCCGAGATGTGGGGAGAAACCCTTACGAAGAGAGGAGGGCAGGGCCCCTGTTACAACCAGTGGGAAAAACCACCCATTGGAGAAAAGATCACAAAACAGGAACGATGGGATGGACGTGCAGACCAGCTCAGGTCTTCTCAGACATCAGCTGACTCACAGTGGTGGGGAACTACCCAGGAACTCTGATGGTGGTGAGGCCTGTGACCCTGGGAACAGGAACTACAAATGCAGTGACTGTGGGAAAGCCTTTAGTCAGAATTTTGTGCTTATTATGCACCAGAAAGTACATGCCAGAGAAAGGCTTTATGAATGTAGTGAATGTGGGAAACAGTTTAGACAAAAATGTAAGCTTTTAGTACACCAAATTGTTCACACAGGAGAAACGTCTTATGTGTGTAATGAATGTGGGAAATCCTTTAGTCAAAACACTGACCTCATTCAACACCGCAGAGTGCACGCTGCAGAAAAGCCTTTTACGTGCATTGAATGTCGACAGGTTTTCAAGTATCACTCCAAACTTGTTCAACATCGCAGAATCCACACTGGAGAAAGGCGTTATAAATGTGAGGAGTGTGGGAAATCCTTTGTCCGAAATGCACATCTTATCGAACACTTAGGTATTCACTCTGGTGACAAGTGTTTTACGTGCAATGAATGTGGTAAAACTTTCAGGCAAAACTCCTCACTTATGAACCATCAGAGAGTTCACACTGGAGAAAGGCCTTTTAAGTGCAGTGAATGTGGGGAATCATACAGGTGCAAATCCACTCTCGTCAGTCATTTCCGAGTTCATTCCGGGGAAAAGCCCTATGAGTGCAGTGAATGTGGGAAAGTATATATGCAAAAATCCAGCCTTATATGTCACTGGCGAATTCATACTGGAGAAATGCCTTATGAGTGCAGTGAGTGTGGGAAAGTATATAGGCAGAAATCCAGCCTTATAAGTCATTGGCGAATTCATACTGGAGAAAGGCCTTATGAGTGCAGTGAGTGTGGGAAATCGTTTAGGCAAAAGTCCAGTCTTTTTTATCATTGCCGAGTTCATACTGGGGAAAGGCCTTTTGAGTGTAGTGAATGTGGGAAGTCTTTTAGCAAAAATTCTTACCTTACACAACATCAAAAAAGTAATCATAGCAGAGGAAAGCCTTTTAAGTGTAATGAGTGTGGGAGAGTCTTCCCTGGAAGTTTGAGCCTCATTAAACATCAGAGTGTTCACACTGGAGCAAAGTCTTATGAGT